CAAGCGTAGAGATCAACAAGCCCGAACAGGAGTGGTGCCCAACAGCCGGCCCTTCCAAACCAGCGTCAAACGGATGAAAGGTCGCATCACAGGGTTCTCCTGCCCCTCCACGACCAAGCCTGACACAGCCCAGGGCACCAGTGTCACCTTCCCAACATCTTTCGCGCAGAGTGCTCAACAACTTGCTTACGTGAACTGCGGCATGGGCGGCGGCGCGGCTTCCTCCCCTGGCGGCGCGCCGGCGTTGGTGCCCCAGGCACGTCCGCCCGCGTCGTCGCCAGCCGGGCGCGCGGCAACGTGGGTGCTGACGGGAACGGTGAAGCCCCCGCCTCCGCTCGGCGACTCCGAGTACATGGCCTCGTAGGCTGGCGGTGGGTTGGTGGCATCGCTAACGAAGGAGGCGTAGGGGGCGCCGTGGACGGGCGCCGTGGGGAACGTCTCCTTCACCTTGGTGCCCACCCAGGAGAATGCACGGCCCACGCCCTTGCTGCAGTGCGCCCGGCGCAGGGGATCGGGAGGGAGGAAAGACTGAGATGCTGCTTCAGGTAAGGGTTAACAGAGAACAACTTATACAGTACATGGTTCAACTAAGGCAAGCAAAAAAAGTAACGACTGGAGTCAACGGCGCGCATAGACGTCAGCACTCGAATGGTCTGTGAAGACTGCGTTGTGAACGCGATTCCCAAGCGGCTGCACCCAGCAGTTACCCGAGTGGTAGGAGAGTTGATTGGCTGCGCCGAACACGAAATGTGACGGCGCCCCAAAAAAGGTGTCGGGAGCGGCGGATTCAGGAAGAACGACAGTCGAGGCACGGCAGGCGAAGGCCAGGCACGGGGGGAAGCACAGGCGGCAGGCAGGGACTGGTGCCTTGTCATTTGCGGGAGAGGCGCGCGGTGGTCCCTCTGGCCAAGACCGCTACCAAGCCCGACACAGCCCCAGAATATGACGGCCAGACGCGCTTGTAGGCGGTACCTGGCACGCGAAGAGCGCCCCTTGCCGAGTACAAAACCATCAACGCTAACAGCACACCAAAGGCTGTACCATACCAGGTATACCGCTGCCGTCTTGACGGCACCCTAAAACGAAACCGTGTCTTCCTGGCACCCCACTTCTTTCCGCATTTGCACGGGCATCGTGCCCCACCCCCGCTGCAACAACCCAAACCCTCACCCAATGCCCAAACCCACCTGGCGGTCTGCAAGCCACTGCTGATGCTTGCCAGCGACTTTTGGACCTGCTCGCTCTCCAGCGCCCGGTCGGTGGCCTGCTTCACCTTGCCCACCGCGGCCGAGGTGGCCTCCCGGGTGGCAGAGATCAGGTGGGTGTGTTGATCCAGACGGTCCAGCTGCGCAAGGCGCAGGCAGGAGGGCAGGGAGGAGAACTTGAGGCGGGAAAGGGGCGGCGTCGAGATCGAAGCGCGGGCGCGGAGTGGAACTGTGGAAGGAGCCGCTGGGCGCGTGGGCGGACGGTAAAAGACGCATTTGGGAAAGGGGGTTTTGCGGGCGACGCACAAGGCGGCACGGGGCGACACTGCACGGCGCGGGACAGCAGACGCCTGGGTCAACGGACATAAGCCATCGCAACAAGGTGGGCGCTAACTGTAATGCTGACACGCTAGCACTGGGCTTCAACATATGTCGTGGTGTCAGGGCGGGAGTGTTTTCGCTAATCAACGGCGGTGATGACAGGCAGCTGGTTGCGCCCAGCCTCAGACAAAATTGTGGCCCATAGTGGGCAGCCGCAGGTCCATTGGCGCGAACGGTTTTGCAGTTCTCATCCCCTCGCAAGGCTGCTGCACACCTTCTCCGCCACCGACTCCATCACCCGGGCTCCGGTGTTGTTGATTCTCTCCAGCGTGTTTTTGCTGCTTGTGGCCACCTGAGGCGACAGCAAGAGCCAGGGATGCGGCAGTTAAAGAGCCAGGGTGTGGAGGCGGCAGACGCGGCGGCGGCGGAAACAGGGCTAGAATCGGCTGCGCCAACAGCCGCGCAAGGGCCACACAGCGGGCACCGCTGGCCCTGGTATGGCGCCTGCCGGGCGCCTCAGGCCGACATCGGTGAGATGGGGGGGGTATATCACTCCTATCCACAAGAAACCAAGTGGCCACGTGGCCACGATGGCTACTTGGCCACAAGGGGCGGCCTGAACGGGACTGTTGAAACAACCTGTGCCCGCCGGCTCCTTTTGTGAGACATGGTTGCGTAACCCACATCGTCGATGGGCCATTGAAGGCCCAACTTGCCCCCACACACCTTGTCCGCGGCGCGGGAGGTGGTCAGCTCCAGCGCCACACCGTACGTGAACTCCTCCGGAACCTGTGGGTGCAGGACATCACCGCACGTTTCCATGACGTGGCGTGCTATGACAACCGTAAATACCTGCGCCCGCCCGCAGGTCTGCTCTGCAGCCGCACCCGGATACGGTACGCTCCCCCCGCATCCGCCCTGGGTATGCGTTACAGACCCACGAATTTGGCAGGTTTCTCCGCCACGGACATAGGGCAACACCACGCAGTCATAACCGGTGGAGCCTGCCTTACCGATGAGCCGGGAATCCCCATGCAACTCAGCCGACGACTAACGAAGAGGCGAGCTGTCGGAGCGGAAGAGCAACACACACTACGGTAGGTGTAGCACAAGATGCCCCCCCGAAGCGTCTCAAACATCGGATGCCCCTTGTCTCTTTCTGCTTCAACCCGGAAGAGTGCCAAGGTGCTTAGCTTGCGTCCGAACCCACGTGGCATGGAGGGAGCCTCTTCATTCAAGTGCCCCACCTCGGCGATATGAGCAACACCGTCCATCAGATTGGTCTCAATCCATTGCTGCAGATCATCGATGCTGCTGGCGTCCCACAGCGACGAGCTGTAATTGCCACAGGATGGAATGACCTGCGTTCAGGCCAGAGCGTCAATTTGCTGATGGCAGCTCCCCTGCTGACGCATGCCAAATAATTACCATGCGGCACTTCAAATTTGTCGGCAGCGACTTCCGTTTTATGGCATCGTTCAGGATAATGACCGCCAAAGGCACGCGTGAGGACGGCACCTCCACGTAATGTGTCACATGTAGCAAGACCATTTTGGCAGATGACTATGAGACACTTCAACTATCGACTCCCTTTCACGAACTTGATGAAGCGGCTAGGGCTCCCCCGCCATGTATTAAATGCAGCGCGAGACAACTTGAATTACAAAATCGGACACAAACAAAATAGCTCAGGATGACGGAGTGGGAAACCACTTGAAGTGGCCGTTTGCCGTTTCAATCGACGAGTACGGCAAATCGGGTCGTACAGAATGCTTTGGCGCCGTCCGGCCGTCGACACTGCTTAATCGTCTATGGTTTCTTGGCGCCCGTCAGTCAGCTGTAACGGAGGAGAAGCACAAGGCACAAAAGACGCCAAGGCTAACTACCCGCGGATAGGGGTAGTCACTGGAACAGGCTGCAACACCCTAGGAGACTAGCTGTCAACATGCTGACGCAAGCTCTGCAAGCACGGAGCATACTGGCTAGCCCTGTGGGCACGTTGGATTCCACCTGGACCAGACAACACGAATTACCCTCCCAGGAACACGCGAGCCTCACGGGGACAGACCGGGACAGACCGAATGTGTCACGTGTCTGCCTGTGTCAAGCGCAAACGGCAGCGCTCCTTAACGGCTCCGTGCCTTGCTGTTGTTCTGACCTGCGATCTCTTCTTGCCGCCTTTTGGCCGCAAGGGCTCCTGGGGTGTGTTAGTTGTCTCGAGTCTACGATTGCCAGCAACCAAATTTGAATTATCTTAGGGTTTCCAATCCCCAATCCTCGCCACCAGGAAAGTGAGCAAGAAATGTACAAATGTCTTCGACAGCATTTGCTGTCGAATTTATGCACGCAGCTAAGGCAGCCTCGATGCAGCGACAGCACGATGCAGTCCAGCAAAGTTTGACATATCCTGCTCAGAACGGACTGAACGGATCATTGCAGCCAACTCGTTTACGCCTGGCAGGCATTCAATCACGTAAATCCGGTTCTAACGCCGGCAACTTCCGTCGCGACAACAGGATCAGACATACAGGATAGTTGAGAGCCGCGCGCGCCTCACGCAAGCGGGGGTGGCAAACATCTGGGCAGGCCCTGGCAGGCAGTGTGGATGGGCTGTCTGACACTTGCGCGGTACTTGATAGTGGTAGTGATACCCCCTGTTGCGCTGCCGCAGGAAAGGACCTCGCCCGGCTTCACTGCAGGCCAACTTACAAAGTTCAGCTACACGTGCGGTGTCGTATAAGGGGTTGCGACTAGCGAGCTGCTCGCAGGAGGGCGACTTGATTGCAGGCCACCACTGGCCACCAAAGCCCCATGACACATACAATGCCACATTGTAACCAATATGTATCAATGACACTCAAGCACTGTAAAATGCCCGTTCAGAAGGCTAACCGGGATGCAAGTAGGAAGATGATGTTTGTAGTAATGATGAGGCGAGGGCGCCGGTAGCCGCTTGCCTCCGCTTGCGGGGGGCGACGACGGGGACGGGCAGGGCAGGACAGGGAAGGGAAGGGCGGGGCAGGGCAGGGCAGCGTTAAGAGGCCGGTCGTCAGCGCTATCGCTGATACAGCTGAGAATGGGCCCAGCTCATTGTCACACTCGGGATGGCCCGTCGGTGCGTTCTAGCAGGACTACAGGTAACGATTGCCTCAGAATCCCTGTTGTTGTCGTTGCAGTGCGTTCCCTGTGCCCGAAGTATTCTTGGTGGCAGGTGAGGCAGGTGAGGCTATGTGAGGCGCAGCAATCCACGTGGCAAAGGCCAGCAAGGGAACTAGGGATGGAAGGCACCACAGGACCAGCACCGCCAGGCACCGCCGCCGCAAGGATGAGGGAGGGCGTCCAGATGGTCAGTTGGTCACCAGTAAGGCAGTGTTGATATTAATGTCATATTATGACATGCGTACATTCAACGCTATCTCGCGTATAGCATGCATTGGCGCTTCATGGTATGGCGTAGGATCGAGTCGCACATGTGCCAACCTGATCTTGACTGGTGTTGGGTGCGGACTTCAAATCCGTAGGGGCCGGGAGGCCCAGTGGTTCAATTCCACCTGGTTGGCGTTATGCAACACTTCCATAGCACACCAAGGGCGATACTCATATGCAATACTGAAACTCACACCGCGTGCATGCGGTGCCCGCGGGGATGCAAATGTAAACGACACGCTCTAGAATTACCTAATAGTGGGGATGTCGGCCGAACATGTATCACCGGAAACCCTTGAACCACCAGGAATTGTGTTGAACGACGCATGCGTCTGCACAGCCTCGCCCCGCACACTCTGCATCCCCCAACTGGCTTTCAGTGCAACGTGCGCGCACCCGCCGCCACACCTGAATCCTTCTCTTTTAATTGGGGACTTTAGGGTGTCTAATGCACAGGCCTCATTTGGTTGCAGCCCGCGAGTTGCTGTCAAGTCTGTAGGTGGGCCCGTCACCAATTTGGGGGCCTCATGGCAAATTTCCCCGTGATCGCGGGTTTCTGAGCCTTCGCCGCGGGCTTGCTCGTTCCTGTCTGGGTGACTCTTGCTGTCTGGTCTGGACGGGCGTCTCGGCTGCCCTGGTTGCCTCCGGTGCAGTGCACGGCCAGCTGGCCGATTAGCTTTACTCTTCAAGAGTCTGGAGCCGACTATAACAACCCCATACACACACACACACACACCGGGATGCTGACTGGCAGGAATGTCGCATCCAGTGAGCCGTCCATGGACACGGCGGTGGTCATAGGCTGGCTGGCGCTCTTCGCCGCGGTCAGGAGGTCCAGAATGAAGCCGGGCCACTGCATGGCGATCTGGCGCACCGTACTCGTGACCTGCGACACGGAACGCTGCGCAGACATGCAGTCTGAGGTGCACTTTGTCCACAAGGTGGGAAGAGGCTGCGCGAACCCACAGACTGCATGTCTGCGCAGCGTTCCGTGTCGCAGGTCACGAGTACGGTGCGCCAGATCGCCATGCAGTGGCCTCGCTCCACCTCCTCTCGCTCGCGCCTCCGCTCGACCAGAATGCCGTCCAGGAGCTTCTTCAGATACTCCACCTGCGCCTCCAGGCGCATGGACCGGTGGTATTCCGCCTCGTAGGCGACACGGATCTGCCGTAGGCTCCGGTGGAGCGCCTTCATGAAGAACTGAATCACCCGTCCTTCACGAACCTGGTGGGGCCGTTGCTCTTTGCTGCGTACCAGGTTCGTGAAGGACGGGTGATTCAGTTCTTCATGAAGGCGCTCCACCGGAGCCTACGGCAGATCCGTGTCGCCTACGAGGCGGAATACCACCGGTCCATGCGCCTGGAGGCGCAGGTGGAGTATCTGAAGAAGCTCCTGGACGGCATTCTGGTCGAGCGGAGGCTCGAGCGAGAGGAGATGGAGCGAGGCCAACAGTACCTGTCGGATATCTCCGGGGCCTACGGCGAGGTATGCCTCATGGTGATGGACATGATGGTGGCTGCCCTGGGAGATAAAGTGGACGAGCAGATTACCACTGCCTTTGCGGCGCTGGAGGCGGCGACTCCGGGCGTCCCGGTTACGGCGCCTGACGCCTGCGCATCCTCCCGGCTCGGACTCCTCCGCGCCTGGTCCCTCAGCGGCTGCGGCACCACGCGCTCCGCCCGAAGGTGACGCGGGCAAAACCACTCGCCGACAGGGACCCGCTCCAACGGTGGGTTCAGGCAAAACGCATGGCAACCATGAGGCCTGCCGGGCAATTATAACGGCCCGGGGTGAGGGAACTGCCGGGCCTGCCGGGCGCGTCGCACAGCAGCAGAGTATCCATTGGTGTCCCGTTGCCGCAGATCTCACAGCAAACGCTGTCACGGCTGCCCTTCTGATCCTCCGGGCCCGGTCCTTGGGCCTCCCGATAGCGAGGGGTCGACTTCCACGCTCGCTTACCGGGCCCCGCCAGGCCCCGCCGATGGTGGGTCACTGTTGTTAGGCGTCTGCCTCGTCCCCTGCCTGCGTTGCTCGACCGCCGCCACGACCGCCGTCACAGCTTCCCTGGCCGCTGCTACTGCTGCCACTGCCTCTCCCACAGTGGGCCTGACCAAGATCTACGATGGCAGCATCGTACAGCGAGTGCCAGCAGCGAAATTGAGATGTGCAGGGAAAGGGTAAAATATGATCGCTAATAGACACTTTGGACTAACAAAAACGTCAGCATCAGCTGAATTTTCACAAAAGAGGACAACAACTTTCCTCGCTCGCAGACTACGCTGGACTACGGCTGCGGGCCAGACTAGCGGAACGATCCACAAAGAGCACTTCTGTTTCTGTTAATTTGCGGTAACAGCTGACGAAAGCGAATGTACGTAGCAGCTACAATGGATGCTGGGTTTCCGAGTTTCGACCTGTTTCGACGGGTTCCGATGGTTGGCGGCGATGGCTTTACTCGCCATACTGGTCGGTTTGCCCACCGAACGGCTGGCGAGATTTGGAAGCCTGCACCGGTTACCGACAAGGAAGCATTTGGGGACATCAACTCTCATGACAGCTAGTGACGAGGAAAGGGAGACGAGGGGTCGCGCGTTGCGGGTGTGGCAGGGCGTGCACGGAAAGGCGGTGTGTAACGGTAATGAACCGTACCAGAAAAGGTAGAGCGTTTCGGAGAGGAAGTCTGAAAAAAGAATGAGAGTTGCCAAGGATGGCGCGGATGACAGAAACTACACTTTTGCTGCTCAATTGGACGATTGCTGTTCCAAGAGAGACACACCCAAACATCCATCAGGATCCATCAGGCTGTCATTGAATCCACAGGAACGTTGCATGCACTCTGGGAAAAATGGGGGGGGGTGCTGACTCCGTAAAATGGGGTGGCTAACTGGCTATACTCCGTAGAGCTAAGTAACCGGACTTCACGGAGGATGCTTCTCCGTAAAGTGATTCCGTAATCTCACCACCGGGCTTACGGAGACCCTACGGAGACTCTATGCGCTATTCATGCGGCCCTATGGCCATGGACCGCGGCGATAGAAGTACCTGTACGGCAAACGTCCGTACACCCAAGTTACCGCCTGAAACAGCCTGAAACGCTGGCCGCGTCATACAGCGAGTGCCAGCAGCGAAATCGAGGTGTGCAGGGAAAGTGTAAAATATGATCGCCAGTTAGCATCAGCTGAATTTTCACAAAAGAGGACAACAACTTTCCTCGCTCGCAGACTACGGCTACGGTGGAGACTGGCGGAGCGATGCACAAAGAGCACTTTTGTTTCTTTTTGGGCGGGCAATGCCGAAGCCCCACCAGCTGCACGATTGCACCTCGAACCTCCCGCTGTGAAACAGCACGAAACCACGTTGTCAGAGCCCGAAAGGCGACCTCGCTTAGGCAGCGGGTATCCAGCGCGCGGTTCGGCCCAAGTCCCTAGGATTCGGTGATTACAAGGGGAACCGGTTTTCACACCGGTTGCTAGCTGTACAGGCTAGACAGAGTGTTCATCCTACCCCAGGGGCACCCGCAACGACAAACACAACACGGCCCGCCTGGCTGGCGAGGAAGGTAGGGGTGATCCGCCGGGACCGCCTCCCAACCAGCCGGCGCGGTCCCAAGGGCCGCGAACGACGCGACACGGGCCCAGAAGTCGGCAACAACCGCGGCACCAACGCCGACCAACTGAGTCCCTAGCATTCAAATGGTCAACTCCACCCGTACGGATTTATCATAACGGGGCGCCGCCCTTTTCCGGCCTAAGGAAGCCGATACCGACCCCTTGCTCCATCGATGACCTGCTTACCTCTTTGGATAAGTTCTTGGGCCTTCTGCTCACGCCAAGCCTTGCGGAAGGCCACTTCCATCTTACAAGTTCGGCATTACGCTGTCGCATACAGGCTCAGGAATCTTTGAGCGTACATGTGAATGATATAGGGGCAAAAAATGTCCCAGTCGGTCACTCTGCGTACACCAGACGGCTCGATCATTTGGCTGCCGGGCATCGTGGCGTGCATTGCGTACCATCTGCCAGCTAACGAAGTGACAAGCACACTACGACTGATAGACAAGGCGACATCGGATCAGTTTGCAACTCACAAGACCTTGCGGCTCTCGCTTCCGTCACCCATCCACGTGTTCCGGGAGCGCTGGGGCCGCCCGGGCGCTTTTGACGTGATGTCTTACAATCAGCGGCTCCAGCTGCTGTGCCTGACGGCGGCAAGCGGGAGCGTCGCCAACCTGGAGGTTGCCCTGGTCGGTGCGGGCCTTGCTCTTCGGTGCGAGCTGCTCGAGGCCGCTGCAGCCGCGGGCCAGCTCGATATGTGCATGGTGCTGCGTGCCCGCGGCTGCCTCTGGGGCTCTTCTCTGTCAGCCGCGGCGAAGGCCGGCCACCGGCACGTGTGCGAGTGGATGTTGGCCAGCGGCTGCCGCCTCAACTAGAACGTCGTTTGCAGTGCTTGCTGGGGCGGGCAGGAGGACCTTATGCAGTGGCTGCTGACGGAATTACAGGGCCGTCCAGGCGTTGTCGTCTGCCGGCCATTGTTGTTGGCCGCGGCGGAGTGCTTGAGCCTGGCGGCGCTGCAGCGGCTGTGGCAGCAGCTCATGGCAGGGCGCCACGGCAGCGACCTGCAGCAGCAGCTTGAGCAGCTCAATGAGAAGGATCGGGGTGCCATCCTGGCGGTCGCGGCCGCCAGCACCACGCCCGATTGGCAGGCCAAAGTGGAGTGGCTAGAGGGGCTGGGCTACCCCCGCAAGGCTAGGGCGTACAAGGCCGCTTTTTATGCTGGTAGCGGCGATGCAGCGGAGGCGCGTCTGCAATGGCTGCGCCGCCGGGGCTACCCCCTGGAGGCAAAGGTGGCGGACACTGCGGTCCGTGTCGGCAATCTTGCCGCCCTGCGTTTCCTGGTGGAGCAAGCGGGGATGCGGCCCACCGGCGACGAGTTCCCCGTGACGGCTGCAGCCCGCCGGGGCCACCTGGCCATACTGCAGTACCTGCACGCCAGCGGCTTTCCCGTCAACACCCGTTCTGTTGCGGAAGAGGCGGCCCGGGCGGGTCACCTGCCGATCGTGTCCTGGGCGGTGGAGGTCCTGGGCGTCGCACCCGCTGACGGCGCAGCTAGCTTGCTCGACTGCGCGGCGGCGAGCG